AAAGGCGCGATTTCAAATTGTTTACTCCTGAATTAGTCACTTTTAATAATATAACAGATATGCGTTTTCCAATTTCATTAAACAAATCCTCAATTAGTATGCTTTTGTACATAGAGCCATTCAGTTCCTGAATTTTGAGTGACCTTTTCTTTGTTTATTTACAATTAATTGCAGGCCGCTGGCAAATAAGGTGACATGCTCCACTTTGTTCACTCACACTAATTCATGAGTGAACTTTTTGCATAGCCAATAAGAATAAGGCATAAATCTGGTCTCGCTTTTTGTTCAATTTCTCGTTTTAGTCATTTATTTATTGGCAGGATAAAAACTTCATAAATGATACGAAAGCTATTATAAGTCTATAATTATTAACTCATTTACGTACTTATTTATTTATTTTTTCACATGCCCCCAGCAATGAATGCATTGCATTGGCTATACGAGAATTGTATTTCAATAATGTGGCATCAACATTGTTTTTTCATTTCACTAACAGTGATCTAAATAAGCACGTGCTTATTAGGCTGCGCTTAAACACTAGATAGCACCAGAGCATCTTCATTTACTTGTAATTACTGGCAAGCTTAAACGCTACATAGCACTCAGGCATTTTTTCGTAACTGGCCCTTTAGGTGCTCGTTAGATTAGGTGATGTGTAGGCAGACTAGATGGCGCCCAGGCATTTAAACAATACTAATCATGTAAAATTAATATAGTAATTATAAGTATATAATATTTTAAAAATATTTGTATTTAACCATATTAATTAGTATATTTTATAAAATATAATTGGTAATATATACAGAATTATAAATATCTCTCCCTTAATATAATTTCAAAACGTGTTGAGACTAAATGGCTGGCTCGCACGCTTCGGAAGCTTACTTGGCAAGATTACATGCTTCGGCTTTTGGTTCGGATAAAAATTAATCTAATTATATTCGAAAATAAATATGAAGAGTTTGATTCTTATCAAATACAAGAGTTTGATTCTTATCAAATAAATCCCATGTTAATCGATTGTTTCACGGGATTTTCGAGGTTCATTTCATCTATTTGTCCTCTCTTTAGTTTGTTATTTTCCTAAATCCATCGTTTTCTGTGTTAGGCAAAGCAGTTGGCAGCGCACAGATGATACCAAAGTTTTTCAAGCATTTCCCTGAGCTTTCTGAGCAAGCCTTAGACCAGCATATCTCTTTGTGCGAGGATGAGGAGCTTGGGGTGAGTGATTTATGTTCGCTTAGAAGCATTTGGTTAGGCGTTGTCCATTATTGTACCTTAAGGGAGATTTAGAAGAAAAAACTATTTTCTTGCTGAATTCAGATGGCTAACTTTGTATATTAGATTGAAAGGTTAATGTGGTTTGCCCCATTAAGGTGAACTAGGCATGGATGGATTAACTCACGGAACTGAACTCTCTTTTCCTACTCTATAATTGATTAGCGGATATGATGTGTTTACAGGCATGGCTGGCTTGCTAAACCTGCATAACTATTGGTTCCTTTTGATGTTCTTCTTGGATTACAATTAACAGGAACCATATTGTCATACTCCATAAAAAAAGCCTAGCATGCTGAAATTGTCACTCTGACCAAATTTCTGCTCTATTGGTTGAGAGAAAACAATTATATGTTTGATTTTTGTTAATATTACTTATTCTCAAGGCTTCCCATGTATATTGCGTGTAGTCACACACTCACATGTCTAAAAGATTTTGTTGGTTGTTTGTTCTTTGTTGATTGCTATAGGTCCTCGTACAAGCTATTCGCGGGCTTCCTCTATTCTGCAAGGATACACCTGAACATCTGGTGAAAATTGTTGACATTCTTGGTCAACTCCTAATTGCTGGTACTTTAATGTTTGAAATCTCTATTGGGTTCTTAATAGTTTATTAACCTGTCTTTTTTTTATATTAATTATTATTGTTGTGGTCATGATTAGGAGATATTGTGGAGCGTGATGCAGTGCATAAAGCCCTTACGACTTTGTTGCGGCAGGATGTCAAGAGTAAGTTCTGACTATAAGTATACTTTGGAAATCTTGTTATTTTTATTTTCTGTCATTACATATTAATCTAATTAATTAATTAATGAAAATCGTCCATAGATTAATTGATCAAAGACTAGAAAATTATTTTATTAATTTGACCAAAACTTCTAGCTTGAATAAGCAAATTTAACATTGTGCGATTAAACATGCACATATATCTGTATATTGAAAAGAGTGTTGTTATGTTGTATTGTATAAACAGTTTATGCATATAAGTTATTATGTTCTGTTTGTAATATTTATTTATATTTTTTTATTTTTTATTTTTTGTTATTTATAACAATGAAGAAATTTTATGGTAATCTAATTTGGTGAAGTGTGGTAATGCGATGTCCGTGTATGCTAACTGTTCAATGTTTGTATGAGATTTCGACTAAAATTGGATCAAAGATTTCAATAAATTAAAGTGTTAAAAAAATAATACAAATATGGGTATATTAGAATGTATAAATTAAAAACGTTCTTGTCGTTATTATAACCGTTTGAATTTAATGATCGTGTTTAATCCCCACAAACGAATACATTGATAATTTTAACAATCTTTTCGATAATAGGGTGTTTAAACATTTATAATAAATTATCCATGATATAATGAGGATGCTTGATGAAAACAACTCATTGGTGAAGTCATTTAGAATGGTCAAGGAGCGTTTTCAATCAGGTTTTACAGACAATTTGAAACTCAGGCTCAACTAGCGTTTTCAATCAGGTTTTATAGACAATTTGAAACTCAGGCTCAAGGAGCGTTTTCAATCAGGTTTTACAAACAATTTGAAACTCAGGTTCATTAGAGAGAGAGAATCTGATGGCAGAACTTACAACTTTTCTATAGCTCATGAAGTTGCAGCTCTCATTGTAGGTGATATTGACGATGCATTTGATAAGAGATATATCATTATAGAGACACGTTATGGATCTATCATTATTTTAATGTTTTTACTTTTTAATTAGAAGAAGAACTGATAACTTTAATAAATAATCATTATTTATTTTATGAATTGTGTAATTACACCAGGTTAGTCATCACTCGGCTTGGAGATCGCATTGTTGAGGCTAAGGTTCTACCGAGAAGGAATATTGGGAGCAAAATACTTATTTCATATCTATGATTATATAAAAAGAATAACATTTTTATAAATTTAGAAACTTTTTTCCGCCAAAATTATTAAATATATCCTACATATAGTAATTATTGAACAAATCTGAATAGGCAAAAAAATTGGCTCATTAATTGTGTAAAGATTTGTTTCTCTTTTTCCTATTTTTTAGTTTATCAAAACTGTTGTTTGACAATAAATATTTATTTTTCTTTTTCCTATTTTTAGTATAAATCTACACGAGCTTATCTCTTATGTTACAAAATCTCATGGCTTGACAATAAATTTTTGTTTTCCTTTTTCCTATTTTAGTATAAATCTACACGAGCTTATCTCTTCTGTTACAAAATCTCATTGCATACGTCTCACGTGTTTAAAAAATTTCATCCCTTATCTATCCAGATTTGAAAAAATAAAATAAAATAGAAACCAATTCATAATTAAAACTAAAAATCCATTATCTTTGAAAAGAAAAAATAAAATAAAATAAAAACCAATTCATAATTACTACTAGAAATCCATTATCTACTTTAAGAAGCTAATCCATTATCTTTAAAAAGAAAAAATAAAATAAAATAGAAAACACTTCATAATTACTACTAAAAATCCACTATTTACTTTAAGAAGCTAATTTTTATCGGTCTAATTACTAATATTTTTATAAATATTATAAGCTAACCATACAAAAAAGTATAAGAATAATTTTGAAATGGTGTATAATCAGATTTTTTTTATATTCTCTTATACAAAATAATTTTACATTGTTTGACTCCGAATCTTTAATTTATAATTATTAAGTATTGTTTATCCTTCTCTTTAATTTCTAATTATTTTTTTTCTTCCTATTTCTAAATAGGATCAATAGTACTTTCCACTTCCGCCATTGAGTGACTCAAACTCGAGGTCTATTTATAATATTGTTCCTGTGCATCGCACGGGTTACACACTAGTTTATTTTATTGTCTAACATCGAATTTTACTTGCTTAATCTCGTATTCAGTCATGGTCAACTTTATGTTGCATTATCTAGAGTTAAAAGTAGGAAAGACTTGAAAATTTTGTATTGCGATAAGGATGGAAAAATTATAAATAAAACTATTTATGTTGTGTACAAAGAAATTTTTCAAAAATTAAAAATATCGACTTTAGTATTTTCTATTTTTGCACTTTTATATGACAACATGTGTTTTTTCTATTATTTTATATTTTATATTTTTTTTTTCATACAACCTGTGTAGTACACGGGTATCGTACTAGTAATAAATTTATTTATGTTTTACGATCTCATCCAACTCCGTCAAATTCTCACTTTTCTTAGCGCCAGACACGTCTAAGTTTCTAACCCTTTTTAAAACCTTGATTACAACTACCTTTTGTGATATTTTCTTATAATAATTATAAGCCCAAATATATAAAAAAATATATTAAATCAATGCATATACCTGCGAATCCATCTATCAATATTTGAGAAAGTAATATATAATAATAAAATATTTGAACCTTTGTATGCGAATGTACAAACATTGTTATTATTATTTTTATTTTTTGGAAACCATAAACTCCTCTCACCACACTCAAGATGTACAATTCAAAAATAGGAACATTTAGGGAGGAATTTATATATATAAAAAATAAAAAAAAATCAAATGGATAAAAATAAAAAAAAATTATAGACAAAACACTACAAGAAAAAGATGAAATTCCAACGTAAATATATTTCAATAGAATTCCAACGACAATTCCAATGGATATTTCAATGTTATTATTTCCGCTAAAATTATTCCAACGGAAATTCCAACAAAAATATTCCGTTGGAATGAGTTTTCCATTAGAATTTCCGTTGGATTTTGACGATTCCAACGGTTGTGAAAATAAAAATTCCAACAGAAATTTCATATTCCAACGAAAATTCCTACGGTCAAAAGCCGTTGGAAATATAGCCGTTAGAATCATCAAATTCCATCTAAAATTCCAATGAAAAATACATTCCAATGGAATATTTTTATTGGAATTTCCGTTGGAATGATTCCACCAGTTGGAATATCCGTTGAAATTTTCACTGGAATATATTACCATAGAATTTTCCGTTGGAATATAACACTTTTTTTGTAGTAAAACTCAAAAACTCGTATTCTCAGAATACGTTTTTTTAATTAATTTTTTTAAAAAAACGTATTCTCGTAATACGTTTTACAATATAAAACGTATTCTCAGAATACGAGCTTTTGATTTTTGTCCACATATANGTTGGGGTAAAAAAATCAACATTTAGGAGACATAAATTCGGCAAAACACTAGAGAAGTGTTGGTATTTTGGGTGAGTTTAATGCATTGTAAAACTAGATTAAAATATGATATGAAAAATAAATCTATAAATAACAATTTGAATTTGGAAATATTAATGAAAAGTAAGATTTTTCTTATGAGTTTAATTGGTTACATGGGTTTTCTTCTTAAATTTTGTTGGTTCATCCTTCACGACACACGCATATATAAAAACATGATGTGGTCTAGATAATTCTATCACATACTAATAGCCTCTCTCATTAACTTTTATTACTCTAAGAAAAATCTAGACTTACCTAAACACTAAGAAAAATTATAATTTCCTTGAGAATTCTTCATGAAGTGTTTTCTACAAGTTTCTGGATTTCTCCAAATGAGCACTAATTTCAACACTCCCCCTTAATGTTTATTTGGAGAACTTTAAGCTTATCGCGTAGTGCCTTGAATCTTGGTCTCGGCAATTGCTTAATTGCACTTCTTGTATCACTTTGACTTTTATTGTGGTGGTTTTGAAACTTGTCTTTGATGACTGTGTATGCTTGCTTCTCCTTATGGTGTAATTTTCGATATTCTTCTTGTTGGCATCTTTTGCTACACCGTTGACACTTGACTTGCCAATTGATTTGTTCTTCTGTGTTGGGTATTGAAATTCCATTGCAAAACATTGATTCTCCCTCATTTTGATTTTTGCAACGATCTTCTTTTCCTTGTCGTAAATGGTGCATGAATCTCTCTTGAATGCAAGTTGTAGCCTTTCTTTAATATTTTGCCGACACTTAGTAGATTTTGACAGACTGTTGGAACTAAGAGGACATTTTTTTATGTATTTTGGTGCCTTATCTTATGTCGATGGCGATAGTTCCTTTGCCTATTGTCTCCACGTACTCGTCCTTTCCAATCTTGACTTTTTGAACTGAAATTTTCAATATTGCAAAAGATACTTTCATCGAATGTCATGTGACTCTTGTAACCATTGTCCAAGCACCAGGTTCTTCTTTTGTCTCCTGTTGAACCGTTGGAAGCATAGATAGCAATTCTTCTGGCTATGTCTCTTCTAAAAAATTGGCTTATTGACTTTGTCTTCTTCCCCAACAATTTTTCTCGATGTGGCCAAACTTTTGACATTTTTTGCATTGGGGTTTCTCTCGAAACCAACACTCTTCTTCTTTTTGCAAATTCCGCATGGTGTATCATACCATATTTTGTTTTTTTTTTTCGGATCTAGAGTATTCTCCATCACTTGATTTTTCTGAAACTCTTTTCTCTTGATTTTTGAAAATTTGAGACCGTAAATTAATTTTGACTGAAATGCAGTTTCCACCTATTTTTCTTTTTTCTTCAAACTTGTCCTTCTTTCATAAGCCTCTAGAGAACCAACTGATTCTGTCACTGATAAATATTTAAATCCCTTAATTATTCAATAACTGTAATGATTGGATCATACTTTTTCAGTGACAATAATTAGTATCTTTTCAGTAGACTTTTTATCTGAAATTATATCTTTGCTTAGTCTTCACGATTGGATCATACTTTTGAAGAATTCTCCAAAACTGCAACCCTCAACTCCCTCCAACTTCTGAACATAA